CATCCATCACTCGTTTCTTTCGAATCGTGGGTGGTGCGTAAATGTGATGCTCCTTTTATAATCTATACGAATATTTACTTTAGACAGTTACGATCGATGTAGCCAAATTAAACTTTCAAGAAATAAAAGAAAAAGTAAAAACCTCTAACTTTATAAAGATCAAACTAAAATCTATAAACATTAAACGAAAAATCATACATCTTTAAGAATGTTTGAAGCTTAAATTCATCCCATACAAAGTCCCAATCATACATTTCCTATATTTAGGTTTTTCGTCTAAAGGTTAAACACTTAGATCTTTATTTGCGCATTTGTTTGAAAATCTGCAATTCATTGCTTTTACATTTGCCTTTTTTATTGATGGGTAAGTAAGAATAAAATGATTTAAAATTAATCTATTTTCAATAAAAAAAAAGTGAATCGAATTCTTTTTATGCAGGCATGATTTGCGAATAATATCTTATAATTAAAGAGATGTCCATGTCTGATGGGTATAACATTTATACTGATGAGATACGTCAAATAGGATTGAAAAATTTCAACCCTTTTGCTCGGTCACGTGAACTGACAGCTAGCTAGGTCCGTGGGCAAGAAGCACGTGACCCTCATTGTAAGCTCATGTTTTAGATACGCGTGTCAAATCCCAAAACGGAATTCTATCACTTTTGTCTTCTACTCCTTCCGCTTCAACTGGGTAACTTCATTGTTTAAAGTTGTGAAACATTTTTCTTATTTAAAACTCTTTAAAATTATATTTTATTATTTATTTTTAGAGTTTCTTTACAATAAGTAGAATTTCGTCTTGTTCATCATGTTAATATTAGGTATTTAATTTGAATTTTCATAGTAAACAAAATATTAATTATTTAGGCCTTTTTATTATAAAATAATTGAAAATCGGTTTTAACAAAACTATATACCCATTTTATGCATAATTTTTAATTTTCAATAACAATAGCATTGATCCAATGCTAAATGATATACGTCGTGGCACCATCTACGAGAAAAAGTAAAATAATTAAATTCGAAAATTTTCGGTAAAACAATGTTTGCATAAAGAAACAATAATAATTCGATAGTAAACAACTCATTTTTTAAAACATAATGTTAAATAGAAAAATTAAATTGTTGCTACAGTTTATTTAATTTAGAAAATAAAGTGATTTAGAAACAAGTTACTTTGTATACGTTATATTTACATTTTTATTCTGTTTTCACCATTGTTAGAACTCTAATTTGAACGTATGCCAGTAGTATACATACTCCTCTGCAGTACTATACACTTAATTTACACTCCCTACATGAATCAAGATTCGAGGCACGAAATGCATCAAATTCCTTACTCTAATGACGAAATCAACTTATTCTTTTTCCTTATCCTATAACCCAACTAAATATCCGCCAGTGCCTGGACATCCGATTTCAGTTCCATTGACCCGTACTGGCTTCGTCTCCATTAACGCCCACCCCATTACAAATTTACTACAGCTTCCTTTCCTCCCAACCCCTACGCACACAACCATCATTCTAACTGCCCATCTCACTCACATACCCATCGCACTCCATTCACTCCTACTCTCCACCTTGCTTGACAATATAAGACAAACGTTAGACTCGAATTCTTGTGAGAGTAATCAAACTGATTAATCAATAAGGAATGTTACTGTCCCTTTCCTATCCTATCTAACTTTCGAAGTGATAAGATAAATTTACTTTTTCCGTAAAGGTCACCCGCAATGCTTGTGAGACTTCAACCTTAACTGCGATAGAACAATTAATTACGGAATTATACATTACAATTAATTACATATAATGCATCCAGGGGGTGTTTATTGATTAAAAAAGTGTCCAGTCCAAGGCACTTATTACGCCATATTGCCTGACAATGTTGCTAAAGGGCGGACATAGTCAATGTTGAGAAAATATTGCCTTCAGATTGCTGGGCAATATTACCATGTTATATTGACACAATATTGAGTTCAAATGTTGTATTATTTGGGGTAGAATTACACCAATGTAATAACGCATTATTGCACGTCGGAAGAGTGTACATGTCGATACACGAGTATCAATAACATGAGTGCGACACGTTTAAACTATGAAGGCATAATTGAAAAGTACTGTACATATTGCAATAAATGTGCATATATACCGGTAAATGTGCGAACATTCACCATTACTTTTCATAAAATCGAATAATCTTTTATTAAATAATTATTTAATATACGCACTGGGTATGAGTATCAATCACTTGCATTGGCCCTTCACAATATTATCTTATATGACAATAGTTAACGTTTATTACAAAGTTAAATTTTTTCTACATATTATTATCCGTTGATCGTGGTAATTAATATAAAACTCCAGATCTTTGGGAAAATTAATACAAACGCTAAAAAAAATTATTTCAACTATGTAAAAACCGCTGCCAAATTGCACATTCTTATCACTATCTTTGTTTTCATTCCATGAACTCTTTGCATGTTTTGTAACAGCATCATTTTTACTATACAAAATGAATTATTATAAAAATGTTCAATTTTCAAAGAAGCAAAAATAAATAGTACCGGTCAGATCGAAGAAAAAAATAAATTTCAAAGGAAAAGAAAATACATTGAGAACATTGTTTATTTTGCAATTAAACAATTAATTTTGCAATAACAATTGGTAATTTTTAACAATAAGTTTTTTTTATTTTTTCAAATAAATCTATAATATTTAAGGTTTACAAAAATGCAACGTTCATTAAAATCCATTGATTCTATCACGAGATATGAATTTTTTAATTAAGCATTGTAAAAAACTTTAATTGTTTATAACTCAGCACGGTGAGCTTGGATGAAATTCAACCCAAAAGTCATGACCCTTTCTGGTTTATTTTTGATATCATTTAAGTGATGTCTAATAATCATTTTAAGATAAAAATTAAATTAATCGTTGGAGGGAAACTCAAATTATATTGATTTTTTAATTTTTTTCTAGGTTATTGTACATATTTTCTGAAGGATAATGTTTTAAACAATATTTATTGCTTCAAAAGATATCTTTTAACATTAAAAAACATTCTATTTAGTAAAAACAATATTTTAATATATAAAGCTAAAAAATTGTCGAAAAAGTGTGAATTTTTTCGTTTTTCTGAAAATTACTCTTTTATAAGTCATTAAACACTAATATTATGCAAATGTAAATTAAAGTACATAAAATTTCCTGGAAAACTAAACAAGAAAAACTATTCTATCTATTAAGAGTAGAGATGATTCTATCACTCAGTCGTATTTTCACTATTTATTATTCTTTCCACTGTTCAGGGTGGCCACTAAAAGTTAGAAAAAAAATTCCAGGCTAATTCCCGGTTTTCCAGGCTAATATATATTTTTTTCCCGGTTAGTTACACAGGCCTGCAAAATTAGTTTCTTATGTTGTTTTGTCTACTAAACACGATCCCGGGTCCTAAAATTGCCCTTCATTTCAGGATATTGAGAAAAGTAAGGGTAAAGAGCCCAAAAAAGTGTTTTTGAGGGTTTACAACATTTTTTCTCTCTTTAATCTGGCGTGCTAGAGATTTCGACAAGGTTTTAAATTAAAGCTTAAAACGTGAATTTTAAGAATCAATGCAAAACACAAAAAGACCAAGGATTTTGGAAAAATAGGGTTACAGACTCCAAATAAATTTTTTTCGTTATTTTTGATATCGGAATTGTTTCTAATGAAGTTTTTTCGACTGAAAAAAAACAAGAAAAAAAAATTCGAAGAAAAATTTTTTTCTCATGAGTATTCCCCCTTAATTTAAGACTATGTAGAAGTTTCTAGCACGTCAGGTTAATGAAAAAAAATACTGAAAACCTTCAAAAACGCGTTTTTTAGTGTCTTTATATAATAGATTTTGCGATTTTGTCTGTAAATGTCATAATTCCCGGTTTTTATTAAAAATCCCGGCTTTTTCCAGGCTTTTTCCCGGTGTATAAAATTCCAGGCTAATTCCCGGTTTTCCCGGTTTTCCCGGTCAGTGGCCACCCTGCTGTTGTTACAGAAATATGATGATTTAAAGTTCGTTTTTAATGAAAAAGTAATTGAAATTTGTCATTAAGTCCAGTTTCTTTGGTGAAATCTTTTTTCTGGACCTTACTTGAAAACCATATAATAATATGTTTAAAATTAACTTTTTTAAACATATTATTATATGGTTTTCAAGTAAGGTCCAGAAAAAAGATTTCACCAAAGAAACTGGACTTAATGATAAATTTCAATTACTTTTGCATTAAAAACGAACTTTAAATCATCATATTTATGTAACAACAATAGATAGAATAGTTTTTCTTGTTTAGTTTTCCAGGAAATTTTATGTACTTTAATTTACATTTGCATAATATTAGTGTTTAATGACTTATAAAAGAGTAATTTTCAGAAAAACGAAAAAATTCACACTTTTTCGACAATTTTTTAGCTTTATAAATATTAAAATATTGTTTTTACTAAATAGAATGTTTTTTAATGTTAAAAGATATCTTTTGAAGCAATAAATATTGTTTAAAACATTATCCTTCAGAAAATATGTACAATAACCTAGAAAAAAATTAAAAAATCAATATAATTTGAGTTTCCCTCCAACGATTAATTTAATTTTTATCTTAAAATGATTATTAGACATCACTTAAATGATATCAAAAATAAACCAGAAAGGGTCATGACTTTTGGGTTGAATTTCATCCAAGCTCACCGTGTCAGAGAAATTTTAATTTTTTAAAAAATCCTTTGAACTGTTTAATAAACTCATAATGAAGCTTGCATTTTATGTGTTTTCAATAGAATTCAGTAAATTTGAAATTTGCTGGTACACTTCACGTATTTTGACTCACACTAAAACACTAATAATCCATATATATACACTATCTTCCTCGTCCGTCACGGCGATGCACTTGTTTCGATTCCACTGGCTAGGAGCTCATTAAATTCCACAATATCTTCAATGCACTCTTTATACTTTTGAGAAATATATTGGAGACACTTGAAATAAGAAATCATTTCGACGTGGCGTTTTGTCTAGGTATTCTAACACGTGGCATTAATTAATGTTCCAAAACAACTGAAGAATAAAATATGATTTACGTCTATATTCATCTTTTGGCATTTATTGCACTACTCACAACAAAAATAAAGGTAAATTTAAACGTTTTAAAATCATAATTCGACCAAATAATAATGTTAATCAATATTCTATTTATTCTTGGTTCAAATAATAACAAAAAATTTATCAACCAGGCTCAACAATATTTTTCTAATTCAAACGATTATGCAGGTATAAATCAATTTTTTTTAAATTTTAATTATTCTTCAAAAGTTGTATTAGAATAAACAATTTTGTACTATATCTATAAATGAAAGAAATAATTTTACATATTTTAATTTTTTTAGAAACTGACAGTGAACTGGTTTCTGTTGAACATTCAATTCATAGAAGTAGTCTACCTGAAATTGTAATTAATATAACAATTAGAGGTATTGAGAGGGAATTTATTTTACAGTCATCAGATGGCTATTTTGCTGGTAAGGATACTAAAGTCTGGGTAGCAAAAAATGAAAGAAACAAATTAAAGTATACACTTCAAAAGAATGTAAGTAAAAAAATGTTTGCAAAGAATTTTTTTAAATAATTTTTTTTTAAAGTAAAGGAAATAAGTTTATATCTTTCCATTTTGGTGAATAAAAATGCAACTTATTCCTCAAGTTCGCACACTTTTTTAAAATTTCATTCCTTGTAGATTATGGAGAAAGTGAATATTACATTTTACCATGATGTAAAAACAAAATCCTCAATAGCACATACTGTAAATAAAGATGGTATTTCAGAATTCGTAAGTAATATCGTATCTCTTTGAATATTTAGTGACAAAAGGGATAGCGAAATTGTTTACAAGACACAAAATGTCGATTTCTGACAGTGGGTGTCAAAGAGTAAATGTTAATTGATTTTAAACTGACTTTAATTATTATTTAAGCTAAAGGAGTTTAAGCTTTACTTCTTATCATCACGTAAATCTAAAAGCGTTAGTTTGGTGCCAATGTAATAAAAATAATTCTCCATTTAGAATGGTGTTTTTGATTCTGACAAAGTAATACGATCATTAAGTAATCACGATCGCAAACGTCGAGATGTTTCGTCAAAATTGCAGTACGAATCATCAATGAATGGTAGCAAGAACTATCACCTACTTTATAAACGAGATGCATCTTTATCAAACCATAATAACTACTACCAAACTGTTGGCACCAACAATGATTATCAGCAGGGAAAGAAAAATTTTATAAATATTCCGGAAATTGTCTATCCTGAAATTTTAGTCTATGTAGATGAAACAATGTTTGGGTATGTAACTTTGTAAACTTAATTTTCAATTAAGAGTTCTCAATGTGTGCTTAATTTTTCAGATACCATAAAAAAGATATTGTCAAAACTGTCGCTTATGTTTTAACCATTTTCAATGGAGCAGATCTTTACTTTAGAGACATGGACGATCCATTAGTTCGTTTAAGCATTGCTGGAATTGTTTTGTGTGAGGTACTTGTAATTTCATAACAAAAAGAGTTTATTAACTTTATCTTATGTATAAATATATATTTATTTATTTATTTATTTATTACTAAATATTAATATTAAGTTCTGTTATAACTATATAACAGGGGCCGTCCATAAATTACGCAAGACATTTAGGGGGGAGAGGGGGTCAGCAAGATCTTACGTACAATAGGAAAAATGGCGCTAATGTATGTAAAATATCTTACGAGGGAGAGGGGGGGGGTCAAATTTACCCAAAAAATGTCTTACGTAATTTATGGATAGCCCCATAGCAGAAACTGACAACTCTAGCTCATGCTGTGTTCGTTATCAATTTTTGCTTCAATATCCGCATCTGACAGACATTTTTTTTTTTGATAAAGGATCCAATAAATATAGAAACGATAAACGGAAGTACTATCAATGACGAAGTTTATTATAGTTTCGGAGAATTTCTTTACAGTGACAATCAATTTAAAGTAAAAATTGATTACGATATTGCAGTTTATTTACTTAAACCACGTGTCCCCGGCCGTATACTAGGTCATATTTTTTAATTTAATTTAAAATCATAATTAATAGCATGGTTTATATTAATAATAAAAGAGATTGCTCATTAAATTACTTTATTAGTTGTTTCGTAACAAATGCATTTAAATGACACAATTAACAAACAATTTGCAAATTTTTAGGCTTGGCATATACAGGAAGGGTTTGTGAAAAGTTTATAATGCAAAATATGGTAGTATCACTGGCGGTTATTGCAGATTTTGGAATCCTTGACGGAATTCATAATGCTGCACACGAAATAGGTCACTTGTAAGTTTAGGATTGCAATATCAGTTTAGCTAATTCAAAAGCCAATTAACAAAATTGTAGCTTTAGAAATTAAAGATTAATTTTAATAAAATAATATTTGTTTTTTCCTAGTTATAATACATATATATATATATATATATATATATGTCGAAGTCTTTAAGTGAAATCTGACATTTCATGAAATGTCTAGACGTTTCATGAAGCGCTGCCACATAGTATAATAAATATTCATTTCATTATGTGTCTAAAATTTTTAGTCATATCATAAAATCCTATTTAATTAAAATTAAATGACGATACCTTTTAGACAACAAAATTTTGTAGGCCTGTGCAATTTAAAAATATTTTTACACTGTTATTGATAAGTACTATTTGCTTGTACAATTTAAACGGCACTGACTTAATTGAAAACAGTTACCCGTTAATGAATGATTAATTGACAGGTGAATAAGGGGGGGGGATTCAAATTAGAAATTTTCCTATTTTTGTTATCAGCTTCATAAGACTTAGTCATTTCATGAAATGTTTTCTAATATTAGATAAATAGTGTAATTTTATATCATTCCGCTAAGGGAGCGTTCATAAATGATGTCACGCAATTTTTCGGGATTTTAGACTCCCTCCCTCCCCTCTGTCGCGCAATTTCATGCAATTTCACATGTAAAAATACATTGTGTCACGTTTAGTAGAGACCTCCCCTACCCCCAAAAACGTGACATCATTATGAACGCTCCCTAAGTGCATAATTAGCATTTGCATTTCATGAAATGTCTAAAAATTGAAGCACGTAATGAAATAAATATTTATTTCACTATGCGGCAGTGCTTCATAAAACGTCTAGTCATTTCATGAAATGCCAGATTTCACTAAAAATCTACGTTATATATATTTCATGATTTGTTTTTAGACTGGGTAGTAAGCATGACTTTTCGATACCAGAATGTTCTTTTAAGACAGGTTTTGTTATGAGTTATGACAAATACGACCAGAATCAATTTTTCTTTTCTCCATGTTCCAAAGAAATGATAAAATGGAATTTGAGGTTTGTACTCTTTAACTTTCCAGATTATGAAAAGTATGTTTCAATTTCAAAAGACAAATTCTAGTATTATTTTTAAGTGTATATTAAATAAATTTAATTTTATAACAGCAAAGAAGCAGCTAGGTGCATCCTCAACAATCCAGCTGATAAAAGGACTGACAGTCAAATATTGAGAGTTTTGCCTGGACAATATATGACTTTAGATGAACAATGTCAAAAACATAGATACAAAAATGCATCTCCGGTAGTAAATTGATTACTCTTGCTCTTGTTTTTAAAATTTTTTTGTTTAATACATTTATTATTTATTTCAGGTTAATATAGATATTTGCTTACATTTGCACTGCCTCCATTCGTCTTTTTCCATATATATAGAATTACCTGCACTTGAAGGTACACCTTGTGACTTCGGAAAAGTAAGTTTGAAAATAATCATCAATTTTTTGCCATAATAGTAAGAATAATTACTTATAACCAAACATTGAGATTTAATTAATTTAAAGGTTCATACAATTTTGATAACTTAAAAAATGATTTTTTTCTTGACGGATTTTAAAAGTAAAATATCTAATCGTTACAACACAGAACATATTTTAATAGTTGAAATTAAGTTGATAGCAAACCTTCGGAATTTGTTTTAAAGTTATTTTTACTTTGAAAATTATTTCTAGTCAATTTTATCAAGATAAAAAAAGATAAAACTATAACACATGTTTAGTTTCTAGTTTTTTTTCAAGCCCAGGAATTCCTCGGAATCATTCCCGGGAACTTTTTTACATATTGGAAATTAAAGTAGCACTTTACATTATTAATAAAATTGTTTTAAATTACAGTACTGTCTAAGGGGAGAATGTGTAAATGTTCCATTTAACAATAGTGACAAGAATACAGATTTAGAAAACTTATTTCCATTTAAATATCAACAGCGTGAAAGTAAAGAAACTGCTGAACAACAATGTGTTAACCATTATTATAAAGTTCCTGTCAAAGTTAGTTGAAATTTATTATAAAATTTGTATTTTTAAACTTAGCAACTTATTTCCAATTATTAATTTTGTTTCAGTCTTTCTTTTATGTTTGTGAACTAAAGTGCGTGTTCAAAAAGTATATGTCCTTTTACATGAAAGAACATACTGCAGATGATGGAACCCCTTGTGGTAATAACGGAGTAAGAGTTATTTGAATTTTAAGTTCTATTGTATGTTAGTCATATTCATTAATAGTTATTTGAGTCCAATTTTTCGTATTTTGAATACTTTTTTCCGAAAACCATTTTACTAAGTAAACAAAAGTAAACAATATATTTTTAATTCAATAGATCTGTCAACGTGGAAAATGTATAGACGATACTTATCGATTGGCTGATGATTATTGTAGAAAAGCTGGAACAACAGGTTTTAGTAATGTTAGTATAAAAAAAGAATAATTGTTTGAAGAACTAATTGTTTTAACGTGCATTATAAATTTGAAATTATTTAAATGACATGGAAATTGTTTATTTGTAAAATGATGAAATTTTGAAAGATAAATATAACAATATAATTTTCTTTAAAACCTAAGATGCCATGCCAGTGAGATACCTACTCGAACTTTCATTGTAATATTAGTTATTTGTATTAATATTACACATACACATATTTATTATTAGAGATTTCCGAGAAAAGAATTACGAAATTTGTAAAAAGCATATAAAATTTTGTAGAAACCCTATAAATTATTAAAAAAAACTAATGTTTTTCAGTATTCTGCTAAAGAATGTACCTTTAACTGCAAAAAAGATATTTACAATTTTTCTGAAAATGTTAATCCTACAATTCAAGGCCAAATAAGAATAATCAAAGAACTATTTGCTCCTGATGGACATCCTTGCAATAACAGTGGAGTAAGAAACATTTCTGCAATATTTCTTGACATAAATTTTACTCAACGTTTTTTTCTCAATGTTTTTTCTCTTTCAGTACTGTCAAGATGGTAAATGCATTAATATGACATTTTCTACTGGTATTATTGATCCTAGTACTTCCTTAGATGAACGGTATGGCCAATTCGCATCATCTATTAAACTATGTAAACAGAATGGAATGGAATGGATGGAAGATGTTAGTATTAGAACGATAATAAATATCGATAAATGTTCATAAGATACATAATTAATTAAATTAACAATTATTAATAATTATTAATTAATTAAATTCTCGTATTTATATTTGTTTTCCTCGTTTCTAGCATGAAACCGGATGCTATACTATATGTCAATCTAAAACCGAATTGTCAAAATATTTTTATGCTGATAGAGGATTCCCATGCCCTGACAATGGAGTATAAAACAATTTTTTAATACCCTAAATTTGTTAATATAAATATTACTTAATTGTTTCTCTCTTCTAGTTTTGTGAAGATGGAAAATGTGTTAAAAAAGAATTAATAAGTACAACTACTGCTTTGAATAATTTACATTCTGAATTTAAATCTTCCACTGAACGTTGTCAAGAGATTGGATTTTCTTGGTCTTATGATGTATGTATTTAATAGATTAAATATTCTTAACCGTCAATTTTTATTTTTTCATATGCTTAATGAATTTATTTTTGTATTTTACTTTGTTTAGTATAGCAACGGATGTATTAGTGTTTGCCAGATAATGAGATACAATGTTTTAATACCTGATGTGAGATATTTGAATGCAGATAATGGCTTACCGTGTAATAATAGTGGAGTAAGAAACATTTTTAAAATACGCTAAATTTGTTAATATAAACTTAATTGATCGTTTTCTGTCATTCAGTATTGTCACGATGGAATATGTCTTAATATGACAGTTATTACAAGAAGCACAAGTGTTGCCACTAGCACAACTACAAGTACAAGTTCAACTACAAGTACAAGTAGTAGTATTGATACAACTACAAGTTCTGTTAGCATTATTCATTCAACAACATCTTTGAATAAATTACCTATCAATTTAGAATCTCCTGTGAAACAATGTATTAATGCTGGATTTACTTTCTTCGTTACTGTTAGTATATTGAAATTATCATAGTTTTAATTTTTTTATAGGTAACAATCTTACGTTTTGTTAAAAGTGCTTCTTTAATCCAACGTAAAAAAGTTCTCGGGAATGATACAGAGGAATTCATGGGCTTAAATGAAAACTGAAAGCTAAAAATTTATCGAATTATTGCCATGAATTTATCTGGAACTTTTTCACATGTGTTACAGTTTTACCTTGTTTTAGCTTGATAAATTTGACTGTACTGTTGTCTGCTCCAATGTAAGTGACATTGATTATATTGAATACGAAGATTATGAATATGAAAACAGTGAAACAAATATTTATCAAGATATATCTCGACCAGATGGAATTGCTTGCAAATATACTGGAGTAATGACAAAACTTTTAACTATAATTTATAAACACAATTGCATAAATTAAAAATACTTTTATTATAATACTTCCTCATTTCGTAGCATTGCTTAAATGGAGAATGTGTTAATATGTCACTCATAGATCCTAATGACAAATCAACAATGTGGGATTTCGATGCATTAAAAAGAAAGTATTTTAGTCAAAATTTTAATTCAAAATCTTGTATTAATTTTGAAAAATCATTATTAATAGTTTGTATATGTATATAGTTTTTCAAACTAATACACGAAGGGTAATAAAACCTAAAGGAGGCGAAAATGATTCAAAATCATTTAACAATGGAGAAAATGAAAAACAGCATAATATTTCTATTGGTTAGTATAGAAAAGATTTGTTTCAATCTTATCATTTTTATCTCATATTAATTTAATTTAATCTATATTAGATTTGTCCGATATTGACAACGTTGTCAAAGAATTTGCAAAAGACATTGAAATATTTTTGTAAAATATTTTCATTATTCCATGAATGTTTTTGATATGGCAAGGAAAAAATCAATATCTGGATTAATTAACTTTCTTCGGGAGTAAGCAAAGCGAATTGAAGTACTAAGAAAACAATTGTTCCAAACATTTCTCCGCTTTATAATAAGAAAAATATGTTACATACTTGAATTTTAAACTGCTTTTTCGATAATATGTATAAGTAATATATAATATATTATATAATATTTTATATATATAATATATAACATATAATAAATGATATGTATTTGTTTGTAATCAAAGAAAGTGATGAAATAAATTCAAAATTTCAATAAAAATATAAATATTGTAAATTTATTGTTAAATATTTTTTATAGTATTTTTGAAACAAATAAGAGTTAAATGGCACTTTTTGGAAATTTTGACCATGTCATTCGAAAGAACGACCCCAGAAACGTATGAATATGTGCTTGCAGAATTTTTAATAATTTTTTTCCTCTAATATTAGGAGCTTGAAATCGAAGTTAAAAATCAGCACATTTGGTCGTTAAAGGATTAATGCCTATAAGTAATTCTCATTCTGTAGAAAATGATCTTTAAAATAAGCTTAAAATCATTGAAAAAAACGTTCAATTACGTTAGAAGTTATTCAAATTTTTGTAAAACATTACAAATGACGATTTTTAAAAAATATCTAAATAAAATAATGACCAAATGACTTCTGTAAGGTCTTCTTCTTTTTAAAATTTTTTCATCTTTCAAAATATATACCGAAAAATATTTTAGTTTTCATAAATTTTATATTTAAAAATTTTGGAAGGTTTGTAGCAATATTGGAATAATATAACTCTCGAGGAAGTAAATTACTCCGTTTTTGGAGTAGATTTTTTTAACTCCAAAATTTTCATTCCCTACTCCAGTTACTATTTACTTTCTGAATTTGTTACAGTGTACAAAAAGTATAATTAACCAAAATCACTGCAGTTATAAGGGCATAGTCCATATTTAAGGTTTTAAAAAGCAATTATTGGTTTTTTTAATTCTCTAATGCGTCAATTCAACATTCATTTATGAACGTTGAATATATACATATAATTTTTCAATATATAAAAAATTACAAATTACCTTATACTTTGAAAATAATCTTCTTACTTTAATTCACTAGACTATAGAAAACCATGATTACTTAATATGTTTATCATCAAGGAGTTTCAATATACTATATAGGAATACTAAGGAAATCCATGTAATTCAACATTTCCCTTAATATTTGGTGCTGAGCCAGTCGAAGGGAGTCGATATTGAAATTTACTGATAGCGTCTGGCCCGTTCAATGCCGTCTGATATCAAAGCTTTTATTATCAGCATATACAGGGTATACTTCATGTATTCTATATATTTTTCTATATATGGATATCATTCCAAAAAGTGACTATTTCAGATTGTTCTGAACCCTTAATATACGAAAAAAAAACTTTGATGCTTTAATAACAAAAATGATATTGATGTGAAATTAAAAATTACGCTCCGCGGCGAAAGTACCTTGAATGATTATTTGACAAACTTAAAGAATAGAATTAAAATAAAAAAGAGTTTCTCGGTGTAAACCATCAATATTTAAGTTCTCATTAGGGGCAAAATATTCAATAAAAAGTGTTGAATAAAAATTACGATCCTAACTTTGATTTAGAAGTCATCTTTATATATTATTTGATATTGTTTATCTTTAGAATTATTTTTTATTAAATTTTTTTACAGAAATTTGATTAATATTATAAGAATAAATAACAGAAACAACTTACTTTTTTGAAAATATTTTGTATAATGTGATGCATAAAATACTTTTTAACGTTCAGGGGTTGATGGAATTCAGCAACACCATTGTTCATTGCGGAAATATTCAGACACGAACTTCAATATAGGAGTTATGTGGTTTTGCATAATAATGAATAAAGGGTAGACATAGGTGTGAAGAGTTGTTTAATTACACAACGTGAAAGCATTATAGAACTCACAAGAAAGGAAAAATATTCCGCATATATTTTTTAAATGTAAATGGTACACTTGAAATCAGTATAATTTATAGCTAATTTTTATTCTTACTACGTTATATTTTTAAACTTAAAAAAAAATTTATTTAAAAGTTTCTCTTGTACAATTATACCTCTAGAGGGTCAGTTTATAAAATCTCCTCTCTTTAATTTTATTTCGATCTATACTGAAAAAAACGATACTTAAAAATGTCATTTAATTCGTAATTAAACATTAAACAAGTACATAAACATCTGATAGATATTACGAGACGTCGTAATGTAAATGTACAATTAAACGTACTTACTTGAAGTGGTACTTGAAATTATGTAAGTACGTCTCGTTCGAATAGATCACATAAACCCTACCTTTTACCCCAGCAATTTCAAATTGTACCTGTAAAAGTGTAATAAAGTCGGAGGCGTGAAATTACTTGGACACACTCTGGTGACGAGAAAAAAGAAAGAATTGGTTCAAATTTTGAACATGTATGAAACTGATTTGACTACTACATTCCCACATTCGATCTATATAAATGTATATTTCATGGTAGTTACGTTTGATTTAAACTTTATTGGAAGTTACGAACAGTTCCATCGGAAATATTAAAGAAAAATCCAAAACAAATTACATATAATACACTAAAAAGACATTTATTTTATTTGTTTTGTCAAATAAATATTTATTTGTATAAAATAACCTTTCTTGTAGTCAATTAAATTGTATTTGCTTCAAACACTGAAATTTGATAAATTTATTAATTTACAATACAGTGAATTTGCTTACACTTATAATTGCAGATATTAAAGTTTAGAAAATATTAAAAATAACATCGCATTGAAAGATGTCTTCAATTTCAACTGATTTCTCATAATTTTTAGGATTCTCATTTAAGGGTAAAAAACCCTCTCTATAGAACATTTATTGAAGTGCAAAAATAACAATCTTAAGATGCGTTGAATACATACACTGCTACTTAATAAAAGTAAAGTTAGCTGTAGATAAATACCTTCTCAATATCCTTAGAATTTATTTTCTTGTACAACATTGCCCCAGCAATCAGAATAAAAATTTACAACCTAAAGATTACGAACCTTGTTATTTTCACACTTGAGAGCTACAGAGATCAAACCACAAAGAAAAGAAACCATTCAGAGCTTAGCCTTCCAAAGCTGGTATAACAAGGAAGACGGATTTCAAAAAGGCAATTTTTGCTTTTCAAAATAAGAAGTCTTATGATTTAGATGGTCTTTTACAATAAAAATTGACTTGAAATTAAGATAAATATTAAATTTATTATTTCCTTTCTGTTAAAATCCTTTTTTTAATAATTTTCAGGCTTCGCACTCATCTACTAAAACCTACTATTTATTAATTTTTTTACGTTATGATACTATTTGGGTACTTTTTTTAGATTTCAGCCACTAAAAGCTATTATTTATGTTTTTCTTTTTAAGAATTTACACTACTTTAAATTCGCTAATCAAATTCTTTAAAACGATTCAATTATTTTCAAAAAATATTCGAAATTCAATTTATTATTTTCAATATCTAGCATTTTCATGAAATTTCGCAAAAGAATTCAATTATTTAAAAAAAAAATGTTTATATAAAAAAATGTTTTTTTAAAAATTCATTTCTATGGAAGAATTTAATTATTTACAAAAATATTAGAATTTTTCACAGGAATTCAATTATTTTCAAATATATTATCTAGAGTTACCTCCACGCGCGACCTTGGAGTTACTTTTTCTTATAATCTTAGTTTTGATGATCATATAACATCTCTTGTTGCTACAGTATCCAGGATGCTTGGTTATCTCATTAGGTCATCAAGAAATTTTAATAATATACAAACCTTTAATCTACTTTTTAATGCATTAGTAAGATCCCCAGCTGAATATGCTGCAATTATTTGGAACCCACCTACTAAAAAGCTCTCTGAGCCTCTTGATAAAGTTCAAAAGCGGTTTCTTAAGTTTTTGGCTTTCAAGGAGGATGGACGTTACCCCGTACGTGGATGTGACTATATTCTTTTGTGTCAACGTTTTTCTTTTTTAACTTTAGCAGAGCGACGCATAATTAATGCGATGATTTTTTTGTTTAAAATTATTAATTACCATTTTGACTGTGAAAAATTATTGGAGGTAATTAATTTTAGGATTCCTCGTTTGTCATCCCGTACTAATTTACCTTTTTATATAAGTAAGGATGATTTAGGGTTGATAAGAACATCTCCGATTTTTTATGCATGTTACCATATTAATAATATGTATAATAATTTCTGCCCAAATGTGGATTTGTTTATGGCTTCGCAACTTAAATTTGCTGATTGTGCAAGAAAATATGTAATCGGCCTACGTGAGCAGCCTTGAAATATTTTTATCCTAAAAATAATTAAGTATACTAAAAGAATAATTTTTTTTTTTGTTGCAAATTTATAACTGTTTTTTTTGTTTACTTTTATTATTTTGTTACTTAAAATTTGTTACTTAATTGTTTTATGTATTTTTTAGTTACCCATTTATGGTCCAAAATTGGACTGCGGGAATGTATATTAAATAAATAAATAAATAAATTAAATAAATATTAATAAAATTGTTCAAAAGAAATCAATTATTTTGAAATACAATTTTAATTAAATTTTTTTGAAGTAATTCAATTATCCTTTTAGATTTTAATAAAATTCTTCTCAAGAAATAAATTATGTACATAAATAATTCTTCAAAAGAATTCAATTATTAAAGATAAATAACAAAATTATTCCCGAAAATTTAATTATTTTGAGGCATTTTAATAAAATTCTTTGCAAAATTCAATTATTCTCATAAATAACAATATTCATCACAATAATTCAATTATTTTTAAAAGTAATAAATTTATTCTTGGAAATTCAACTATTTAAAAAAATTTTAATAAAATCGTCGACAAGAATTCAATTATTTTCATAAATAATAAAATGCTTTGTATGAATTCCATTCATTTCAAAAAAATTTAATAAAATGCCACACAGACATTTAATTATTGTCAAAAATTTTAATAGAATTCTTTGTAAAATTTCCAAACCGAATTCAATTATTAGAAATTTTTTTTCGAAAAATCTTTCTAAGAATTCAATTCTTTTCATGAATAATAAAAATTTCTCAGGAATTTAATTATTTAAATTAGAATTTGCATAAAATAAGTCAAAAGAAATCAATTATTTAAAATTTTTTTATA